AACCGGCCTCGTGTGGATTCACCTGCGGTTCCCCGCGGAGGACCTCAGGTGGCTGAAATACCCTTTCTGCCTAACGCTTTCTCCGCATTCAAAGCTCGCTGCTATAAATAGGTCCGAGCTTTGAGATGCGCTGGCATTTCAGGCCAGGGTTTTGGCTCTTCCCTTTCGGACGAGAGGCGAAGGAAAAGAATTTCCTCCCTCGTTTTGGCACGGATAACCCAGCTCCATCCCTACCGGAGAGCGCGGTCGTGGAGTCGACGTCTTGGCAAGCTCCCGCCGAGGCTGGAGCCTTTCCCCGCTGAGTCTCGTCATCCCATTCATGAGCAGAGGGATGAGCTCCCCGCTTTGTCCTGCCCGTGGCTGTGTGATAACCCCCGGGGCTTGGCGAAGGACCGGGGGCCTGCAAAACCCTGGAGCGGTTCCTCAGGGATAACAGAAGGGAAACAATTTGGGAAGGGCTGGACGGGCCGCGGCGATTCCCCCCGGTCCTGGAGCCAGCTCTCTCATTTCCTCCTCGTAGCAGCTTGTCTGCTTCGGAAACCCTGTGGAAAAGGGGGAACAGCCCTCTCTTCCCTCTGCGGGTTGTCCCGCAGCCGCAGCTCTGACAGCCTTCATTGTCATGCCTGGAAACAGGCTGTTCTCCATGCTTTTTTCTGAATAAATAACTCTTTTTTTCCTTTTTCCCCTGCTTGAAGCTTGTGCTCACTGCTGTCAGCGGGCAGGTTTCCCCCCAACCTGTGCCGTTCATTTTGTGAGAAATAATTTCCTCTAACCTCTGGCTCTGTTTGTCATGATTATTGTCGTTATTAGTGATTTATTCTAAGCTGCGTTCAAAACATGGCAAAATCTCCCCCGAAACATGTTGCCCAGAGCCAAGCGCAATATTTTGGGCGCGGCCGCGTTTAGAAGTTGCTCATCAAAGAGGTTTTGGCCGAAGGGTTGCTCCTCTACCTTTGATTGGGAAAGAAGCACGAAGAAGGGAAAAGTATTTCAAAATACCTCCCCCTACACCACGAATCCAGCCAAAACCGGGCTGCGGAGCTGCAGGCGCCGTGCCCCGGGGAGTTTGCCTGCGGCTTGTGAAGACCATGATGGGGAGACCCCACCGGTCCTGAACCGGTGAGATCTGCGTGGCCGAGCCAGCCGGCCCCTGCCTTCCCCGCACGGAGCTCTGCGAGCCGGCGTAGCCCGTTCCTGCAGCGACACGCTCCTGGGAAGAGGCCAAATAATTCTCATACCTGGGTCTCCCCCTTATCTCGGTCGACAGCGACGGAGCAAAGAGTCAAGGTCGGGAAGAGGGAGTCTGCCGGAGTTCATGTGGTGGCCAGGAGCTTTTTTGGCACGGAGGAAACGATGGTGCTCTTGTGCCAAGACAATGACTCCTCGCTGTTGGGATGCCAGAAAAATAATCCTATTTATGTAACTCGAAGCGAAGCGTTCCAGTGCATGAATATTCAGCTCTTACTGCAAATAGGAAGCTCTTTTACCTGCAGGATTTGACTCTCAAGCTGTCATCTCAGCCCAAATCTTGCCCTGTGGCTGCTGATGTTTGGGGTTTTTTTTATAGTAGAAGGTTTGATTTTTTTCGGTGAGCGCTGTTTGCATGTGAATTTTATTTTTTCCCCTCCGGGACAGGAGGGACCGTGCTTTTCCTGGTGTTAATCTCTCCTGTTTCCTCTGCCTTTCTGGGCAGTGGACCCATCCAACTGTGGCAATTAAAAAAAAATTCCTGCTGGAACTGCTCACTGACAAGTCCTGTCAGTCCTTCATCAGCTGGACGGGCGATGGCTGGGAATTCAAGCTTTCCGACCCAGACGAGGTAGAGTGCCCCGGAATGAAGTGCACAACCCAAATTCCTCTGAAACATTGGTGTGGATAACCCTCCCCTCAGGGCTGAGATTTGGGCGGTCACGTTGTTCCCGTCTTGGGTAGGTGTAGGGGAAAACGATGAATTAGAGCCCAGCTGAAAACTTGTTCTAAATTGGGCTGCAGTAATACCTAGGGAGCAGTAATTTGTGCCCAAAGGTGGTGAGGACCAGCTGAAACGCCGTAGAGAGTGTCCAGCGGAGGACTACGAAGATGATGAGGGGACTGGAGCATCTCTCCTACGAGGACAGGCTGAGGGAGCTGGGCTTGTTCAGCCTGGAGAAGAGAAGGCGGAGAGGGGACCTTAGAAATGCCTACAAATATCTGCAGGGTGGGTGTCAGGAGGATGGGGCCAGACTATTTTCAGTGGTGCCCAGTGACAGGA